AAAAATGTGAAGAAACCATTCATTGGAAAGAAAGAAACCAACGTTGTCTATGGCCAGAGGAGCCGTAGTAAAAATGATCGTCACCAATCTGTAGGGTCCTTGTTAATCACTAATTCAATCCTACTCGATCACAACAATCGGGCAATCGACGTAGGTCAGACGCTTCGAGGAGAAAATTCACCAGGATTAATATGCCATTGGCTCAAGAATTACAACATCTGTTGAAAGCACAATTGGTAACACTGCAGGATCCTCCTCAAAATCCCAACACATCATCTCTGAAGTATAACCTAAATGCAAGGTGTGAATATCATTCCAATAGTTTTGGGCACGACACCAATGATTGTTGGGCCCTAAAAAGAAAAATCCAAGACATGATTGATGCAAAGGAAAATGAATTTGATCCTCCCGAGATCCCTAATGTGATTACTGTGCCCATGCCCAGTTATGGTAAAGGTGTTAATGCTATTGACGATGTTTCCTATGTCTCCGCCATAAGTGACTTGACCACTCCATTGATTACCGTTAAGAAGAATCTGTTAAGAGCCGATTTATCTCCGGTTTATTGCATTCTTGAGCGTTGCCCCATATAAATTAGTAGTAAATAAGTAGTATATTTTATAGCTAAGCATGTCCCTTTCCTCTTTTTCATGTGCAGGAAAAATTACAAGCTGCAATTAAGGATTCTGTTTTTGAAAATGAAGCATTTCAGAAAGTATTTGGAAAAGAACAACATGGATATGCTCGTAGTGTGAGACTAGGAGCTACACCGTCTCAGATTAATAGATCTACGAGATTGGCATCTTCTTCTGTAGAAAATGAAAAAATAAAGGAAATGCAAGAATAAATTAATGCACTTAAAGAAAAAAATTCAAAAATTGACGAATTGATGGAGGCAGTCACATTCTTAACGCAAAGGGATAATGCTAGGGGCAAATGAAATTGAACTCTTATTGCAAATGCAAAATTCTAGTGGAAGATAGTTATATTATTTTGATTCATTTAAAGTTGAAGTTTATGAGTATTATTTTAAAGAGTATTATTTTAATACTTTTTTTAGGGATTGGAATCACCCGCTGATGGTAGACGTTCATCTGAGTCTAGCTACCGAATTTAGATAATGGATCATCAAGAAGGACAAATTAGAATTTGCTATGAATTAATTAGATTATGAGCGTTCTTATGTATTTTTGACATAATGATACTTATTATTATAAGATTAGAATTTGATATGTTTTCTGTTTTTTGTACTACATTACATTATTATGGAACTCAAATTTTATATGATTATGGAACTTGCATTTTTTTGATATTATGATACTTATTTGATATTAAATGTTTTTTATTGGAATTAATTTTATTACGTTACAAATTGATTGAAAATAATACTATATATAAAAATATTATAGTAGAAATAATTTAAAGAAAAAATATTTAAAATTATAATACTATAAAAAGACAGTCACGATGGTATTGAACCGTCGCAATCAATAATTTAAAAAAAAGTCAAAAGAGTGTCACGACGGTACCGAACCATCGCCTTTAACAATAAAAAAAATGCAAAAGATAGTCACGAGGTAACGAACCGTCGCCATTAACAATTTAAAAACTCAAAAGATAGTCACGACGGTATCCAACCCGTCGTGAACTTGAGCGACGAATGGTGTGGCGGTTTGTGCGACCATCGCGAAACAGGCTGGGGACACACATTTCTGTGACTGAAGCAACCGTCGTGGATAGCAAATTGCGACGGTTTTAACCATCATAATCTGCCAAAATAACTGCCGCAATCTGCCAATTTTCTTGTAGTTCCCATCCTTTGCTTTCGCCTACAAGAACATCTCTACTGATCACTAGTTTATCTTCGATTGGCGAATACAAGTTGTATGCACAAGTCGAATGATAACCTATGAGCACCATGACTTCACTTTGATCATCCAGCTTCTTTCTCAATTGTTCAGGTACATGCCTGAAACACATTAATCCAAAAATTATAAGATGACTTACATTTGGCTTCGACCCTGTCCAAGCCTCATGTGGTGTCTTTTCGACCATCTTCTTCGCTGGGCATCTGTTTAGAATGTATACTACTGTCGAAGCTGCTTCAGCCCAAAATCTCTTAGGCATATTCTTAGCTTTCAACATACATCTGGTCATGTTCAATACACTTCTATTCTTTCTCTCAGCGAGGCCATTATGCTGAGGCGTATAGGGTGCAACAACCTCATGCTCTATACCATCCTCATTGCAAAATCTGGCAAATTCTGCCGAAGTATATTCACCACCACCATTAGTTCTTAACTGTTTCAATTTGCAGCCACTTTATTTTTCAGCATGTAACTTGAACTTCTTGAACTGTGTGAATACCTCACTCTTCCTTTCAATGAGGTAAATCCATATATGTTTGGTGAATTCATCAATGAAATTAAGGAAATACCTATTACCTCCATTGGATTTTACTTTGAAAGGTCCACACACATCTGAATGAACCAGCTCTAGTTTTTGCCTTGACCTTATAGGAAAATCACATTTGAATGCCTTCCTTGCCTGCTTAGCTTTGCAGCATTATTCACATATCTGCTTTGGTTCCTTCACATACGGAAACCTAAGCACCATTTTCTTCTGATTGAGCATACATAAACTTTTGAAGTTTAGATGTCCATACTTGTGATTCCATAGCCAGTTCTTGTCTTCTTCTGCAGTTGAAGGAAGACTTTGTCATCTGATGTGTTGAGTTTGACTTTGAAGGTTTTGTTCTCCGCCAATGGTGCTTTCATGATTAGCCCCCCATCAGCCCTATATACCTTCATCTGATTATTCTCCAACTTCATATTGAAGCCTTTTGCAAGAAATTGACCTACAATTATCAAGTTACTTGTCATCTAAGGTACATACAGAACTTCAGTGATAGTAGCCTTTCGACCATCCTTCCTTATAATTGACATGTCTCCTTTACCACATGATTTGATATGCCTGCCATCTGCAAACTTTATCACCTTTTTTACAGACTCATCTAACTTGGTAAACCAGTTTTTATTGCCAGTTATGTGGTTGCTACACCCTGAATCCAGATACCACATTTTTTTAATCTCAGTGTTCGATTGAGTGTTCACCAGCAACAATGCATCATCAGAATCACTACATCCAGCTCGTGCATATTGAGCTTCATCACTATCTTTTGACCTTGCAGCTTTCTTGCTTCGACAATCTCTAGCATAGTGGCCAAAACCTTGACAATTGTAACATTGCACCCCTTTCATGTTAATTTTCTTTCCAGAATACATGTTGCCCACTCCTTTCGAATCAGTATTCTTGCTTGACTTCTCATCACCAGCAAGATTCTTACGCTGCTTCGATTTCTCTTTTCCAGCTTTCTTGCTGAATCTTGATTGCAATGCTTGTTCAGCTGTCTTCTCCCTTTCTGAGTTTCTTTGCTGCAGCCTCATTTCATAAGCCTCAAAAGAAGCTTGAAGTTCTTCCAACTTCATCTCAGATAGATTCTTGGCCTCTTCAATTGTTACAACAAAGTAATCAAAATCTACAATTAGAGATCTTAATATCTTTTCTATCTTCTGCAGATCCGTTAGTGCTTCACCAAACGCCTTCATCTGGTTTGTTAGTATCACCACTCTTGAGAAATATGCTGAGACAGATTCATTCTCTTTCATCTGCAGCATCTCATACTGCTTTCTCAGAGTCTACAACTTCACCTTCTTCAGTTTCTCATCTCCACCATACAACCACTTCAGCTTTTCCCAAGTTCCTTTTGTTGTTTCTTCTTCGATTATCATCTCAAACACATCACAATCCACATACTAGTGAATCAAGAACAACGCCTTGCCATCTTTCTTCCTCTGATCTTTATGCGCAACTTTCTGGGCTTCCGTAGCATCTTCCTCCAGTTGTGACATTCCATCATTCACAATTTCTACAACATCTTGAAATCTAAAAATAACCTTCATTTGTGCCACCCATCTTTGATAGTTTTCACCTTTGAAAGCCGGAAGATTTGCTAGAAATTATGTTGAGGTTGTTGATCCGTTTGCCATTAGACTCTCTCTGAATCGCAAACAAGCTCTTGATACCAATTTGTTGGAACAAAGGATTCAAGAAAGATGAATATTGTGAAAAACAAGAAGAAGAAGAAGAAGAAGAAGAAGAGAGAAGAAGAGAGAGAGAGAGAGAGAGAGAGAGAGAGAGAGAGAGAGAGAGAGAGAGAGAGAGAGAGAGAGAGAGAGAGAGAGAGAGAGAGAGAGAGAGAGAGAGAGAGAGAGATTGTTGAGTTAGTTAGTGTAACTAACTCTTAAAGACTGAAACTGTTATTATTGTTACTGCAGTGATTATTACAAAGTAATTGCCCTTTATATAGGCAACATGCCCAGACCCAAATGCAAGCTAAAGCCCAAATAACAACTAACAAGAATTAACCAACTAACAGAAACCATAACCAAAACAACAAGCATAAATAATAAAACAAAAAATAAATCCCCACACTAACCCCACAACAAAACACTACCCAAACATGATCAGCCTAGAAATATGAACTTTTTGAAGAGTTGCGAAGAACTCAACAATCATCGATTCTTTATGAACAAAGAATAAACATGTCCATCTAGGGTCCCAAGTGATTGACCCATTAACCATATCCTTCCTACCTCATTGAGAGTCCCATCTTGAATTAGGGAGATGGAGAAAGGTCTTGAAAAACTGACCATAAGGGAAGTACTACCAAATCAAGAGACTTCCCAAAAGGAAGTCGAACATCCATATCCAACCTTCTTAGTCAAAGCTTGCTCAAACTAATTCAGTGAATCTTATTTCTTGAATTCAAGAAGGGACATTCCTCTCCACCGGATTGAAAAAGAACGATACCCCGAAACCCTACCTCCACACCAGATTCAATAACATATTTTATTATGCAAAGACTTAAGCAACGCCTCCTATATTTATTGAAATGGAAATTAAAAACATGTAATCTTACTAAAAACCATACAAGATATTTATAAATGGTAAATGCTAACATCAAATTCCTCAATAGCATTTTGAGAAGCAGGATCATACAAAACAGTCTTTGCCAAAGCATACCCTTTTGCAAACCTAAAGGCACCGGTTCCTCCAACAATAGCCATTTCTCTAACTTCATCCACAATAACATTCCTTCCAAGCAAACTAAGTGTGCTCCCTTTGTAGCTACCTTCTATAAAAACAAAATTAACATCCATTTTCAAAGCTAAATCACCTTGTTTAGAAGCCAAAGCATAGGTTCCTTGAGCTCTTCCAATAAGTTTTGAATTTATATCTTGTTCTTCAGTCAAAGGGTTGTCTATAATAAAGGTGGATCCAAAATCACCATGAGATGATTCATTAGGTGGGTTGATAATTTTGAGTGTAGTTTGTTTTTCACCATCTAGGGTGTCATGGAAATAGAAGTGTAGGTGGGTGAAATTATGTAGTTTCTCTATGGGTAGCATTATATTGGATTCTTCTAAGGACATTTCTTTTTGTCAGTTTTAGAGCTACCTAGGTGTGATTGAGTGTAGAAACATAAAATTGAAGCTATCAATTTATAGAAATTTTGAGTGTTAAATAAATATTATTATGTGACTTGAAATGTTTTGCATTACCTACCAACAATATTGACTTTTTAGTGCAGAAAGAGAAATATCTAGAGTCTAAAAATAAATATTTTTTAAATTTCAATAAAATAACAAGACTTATTAGCTGTTTTGTATGAATAAATTAAGAGGAGAATTAAAAATAAATGAAGTGAGTATTATTCAAAAGACCAATGTAGAGAAAGTGGAATCTCATACAAATTACAATTGGTAATTTCTTTTGAGGTGTTAGGTGGGTTACAATATTTCTAAAAGAAAGATGATGAAACAGGGTTTTTTTTTCACGATTTATTAATCTTCTAGAAAATAATACAACAATTGAAAAAGAGAAAAGAATGAAGATGTGAGAAGACTGTTTTTATGACTTTTATTACGACGTTTAGAAAATTAATAGTGGAAGTTGAAATGTTGTTATATGGTATTGAAAAACAAAAGTTAAAATATGACTTCTTTTAGAAGGTGTGTAAATTACAACCGTCATGAAGGTGCTACAATTCTTTTTAAATGAAGATATATAATAAAAAGAAAATTGTTACAAAAAGTTAGAGGACAATCACCAAAGCTCTATCAATGAGAGACAAATCTAAAGAACAACATTCATAATCTATTACTCACAAAATCAATAGCCCTAAGACAAAAAGGGATGGAAGAGAAGTAAGTAATATTGGTAATATTAAGCCTTAAAGTAGCAAGTGTATCTATATAACTATTATTTTCCCTGAAAATATGAGAAGATACAAATTTTCAATTAGAAACTATTTATAGAGTTTAGCCATCTATTTCTAAAAGACCAAAACACTTTATAAGGTAATTTGAACGCTTTGACTACAGTCATCGAGTCTGTTTTCAACTAAATATTGTTTCAATTCTTTTCATAAAAGAACTCAATTGCAAACATTGCACTAAAGAGTTCGGCGATGAGAGAGTTCGGCGATGAGAGAGTTGGAGACCCCCAAAAAAGAAGCAAAAGCTCCCAAAAAACTACCAGCACTATTTTTCACGATGCTCCACAAGCAGACGAATCCGAAAGAGAAATCGACGCTCCATCACAATTAATTTTTATCCAATTTCGAGGCGGGGGTTTCAAAATAACCTCAAAGATGTTAGGAGTTTTAGGAGGCCGAATAACATCTTTAAAGCTCTTTAAAATCACAAAATCCTGCATATTAAAAAAAGTAACTTCTGAAGTAGTGTTGCCAGCCAAAGAAACAACTACCATGATAGGAGAAATGGAAGAAGAAAGATTAAACTGAACATGGGGGAACCTCACCTTATTGCGAGCCTAGAACACTCCTTCTAATAAACCTCGAATTAAACGATATAAATAAAATTAGAGAAAATAAAATTTGCACGGAAGGAGTGTCACAACATCAGTTCACATATTCAGGAAAAACGGACATGACATATTCGTCACTTTAATCATTTAATCACATAATACAATCATGACATATACTTTCTTTTCCGTACAAACGCAACAGAATCATAATAATATTATCTTCTCCAAAGGAGAAATCAAAATATAATATGCAAGGCATTAAGCCATATGGTTCATATACCATTCAAGTTATCAAGTCATAATATACATACATCATCATATAATCAAAACAATGGATTATATACAAGTATAATCCATATACAAAAATATGAGTTCGGATGCGGACACAAAACCCCCAGTGTTACAATCAGAGCATCGACTCAAAATCAAAAAGTAACGGACTACAAACATAAGTCGTCCGCTAACCCGTACGCCTCGCACTATCGTCTTCGGTACCTGAGCGATATCATATCAAGCATCATTTCAACAGAAGGGTAAGAATTCCAACAAACATAAAGTATGTAATTAAAACAATGCATAAAATATAAATATTAGGAATCCTTCACCATACATAAACATATATGAATATTAGTAACATATTTATTTCACCTAATCACACACTTGGTAATTATTTAAGAATCAATCCAAAAACAATTCCGACACATAAACCACACGATTAATCCAATTCACATAAACTCATAATATAATAATTATGCATGTGACTCATGACACGATACAAAGAATGCGAATACGGTACCGACTTGTGGACCCAAGGTTCCACCGCCTATATTTCCACATAGGATCAAGGTCTCTACGTCTATTTCCCATCTAGGATCAATGTCTATAATTGTGAACCCAAAGTTTCACCGCTTATATTTCCACATAGGATCAAATCCTCTACGCTTATTTCCAATTAAGCATCAACGTCTATAAAATGTGAATCCACCGTTTCACCGTCTATGTTTCAAGATCAACCATGCCATGCAATGTACAATTGACCACTTGTATGCAATTAAGACCACTCCCGACCTTAACATACACATACCACATATTCCAACACAATGAAATACCAACAATTGTACATGCATTTCAATTATATTTACACATCAAGTAACATACAAGTTTAAACAAGTTACTTCATAAATATATTCAAAACAAACACAATTCCGATCGCTCTACCGAAAACGTCGCAATCTCGAAAAAAAATAACTCAACCATAATTACCTACGCATTTAACTTAGTTACTCCGTCAAATTTCATTAATTTTCGGATAACTAATTTTATCGCCTAAACCGACTAATTCTAAACAAACACAATTCCGATCGGTCTCCGAAAACATAGCAATCTAAAAAAAATAACTCAACCATAATTTATCTACGTGTTTAACTTAGTTACCCCGTCAAATTTCATTAATTTCTGGATAACTAATTTTACCGCCTAAATCGGCTAATTCTAAACAAACACAATTCTGATCGGTCTCTGAAAACGTTGCAATCTCAAAAAATAACTCAACCATAATTACCTACGCGTTTAACTTAGTTACCCCGTCAAATTTGATTAATTTTCGGATAACTAATTTTAGCGCCTAAACCGGGAAAAAAAAACGAAAACATATGCAATAAAAACATACTAGATGTTTAGAGAAAGTCTAACCCTTATCGATTAATCTCCGACACAAGCTTTTCAGTTTCTATTCTTTTTGCTTTATATATATATATATATATATAATATATATATATATATATATATATATATTATATATATATATATATATATATATATACTATATATATATATATATATATATATATATATATATATATATATATATATATATATATATATAATATATTATATATATATATATATATATATATATAATATATATATATATATATATATATATAATATATATATATATATATATATATATATAATGTAATATATATGTATATATATGTAATATATATATATATATATATATAATATATATGTATATATATAAATATATATATTACATATAAATATTTAATTCTTATTTAATTTAATTAACTAATTAATTAAATCTGGGCTGTTACAACTCTCCCCCACTTATAGATTTTCGCCCTCGAAAATACGACTGAGACTAACCACAATGAACCTACTCATGTATCCGTCCACCCAAACTCTCACTTCCACCAAGTAACATACGAAAGACACCAAAAGACGCAAACATCTTCTTAACATCAAGATCCAACAAAACACAATGCTGAGGTGCAAGACCCATACCATGCACTCGTCAATAAACTGACGACACCAAGAATAACCAAGTCGAGAACACACTGGTTCACCCTAGATTCCAGACACAACAAGGTCGTTACCATCACCACGGTAACACCCCCTCGATTCCTCATCCAGTGTAATTAATCAAAACCTCAAATTGTCCAATCACTCGCGCATAACTGATTTGTGATATCTCATGCTTCCACTGCACACTCAGATAGCCTGCAACTATCTAACTTACGACCCTCACATCCAATTTTCGTCCGCTTAATACTTACTCCAATCTCATCGTCCAAATAAACACATCCGAAACATACAACTATCATGATACATCACAACCTCTGATCCATTAATTCTAAAATCTTCTCTTCGATTTTGATTGATTAACATCCATTGGTCCCTAAAGATACGGCAATATCCTACTTTCTCAAATCTTGTCCACAATCACTTAGGACTTCCAACCTCAAAAGCTTAACTCTGACGAAACATTCTTGTTATGTCCCACTCATTTCTCACACCCTGTATCGACAACTGCACAAACTTTTCATTCAAGACGTCAACTATCACCTTCAACTTACCAAACAGGAATCCAATCCAAAAATCACTTTCTCAAAAGTCTTAACCATCGTCGCAGTCTCATACCCTATTCCTTTGGAATTAAAGGTAACTCATACTCTTGCAATAACCAAACAGTTCAAATCCAGAACCACGACGTCATACTTCTCGAGTCCAATACTCTTCCTCATAAACCATAGATCATCTTAAAGTACTTGAGGCTGCTAAGTCCGTCCCAAGATACTTCACCGCTAAAACATATCTTAATCACAATCCAGTAATCCATCATGGTTATCAATAACCGACAAAATCCATATTGTAGAAGTACATGATTTCACTTCAACCCTCTAAACTTACATCTTAGTAAGTACTTTCAAAACGACTCTGAATTCACCTTCTTAAATCCATTGATTCCTCAAACCATATTTTTCCGAATTTCTTTAGTATCATCTACGATACTCTTAATGATCCCCATAATTAGATGCAGTCTCTTCACAAACCGTACTCAACATCGAATCGTTTCCAACAATTCAAATCTCGATCTCTCATAGTTACTACATACATACAACTAAAATCTTCATGTTTCCAAACGAATGCAACCGCATCAAACTTTAACTCAAATGTCCGAAAAAAATCTACTCATGAAAACCCTGCTGTTCCAAGTCACAATTTACACTTATGAGCTCTACGCCAAAACACTCCTTATATCCAAATGAAACATCTC